CACCCACTGTAGAGGTGGGGAGTTCAGCCCAGACAAGGGCCAGCGTCGTCAGGAACAAGTGAGACCCGGGGGAGGGAGGCATCAGTAGCAGGCGAGGGTCCATCGGGGATCCTAGTCCTCAGTAGCCCATGAGGCCCAGGCGGGGCTCATAGGCAACAGGTGCTCGGGAGACCCAGGCAGGGACATAGGCAGGCAGGCAGGAGCGGCTCTGGCCCAAAGGGAATCCTCGGTAGCAAGAGCGGTTATGTCCCAGGAGGGGATCAGAGCCAGAGTCCAGCAGATGAGATCCAAGTGGGTATTGTTGCCCATAGGAGCAGGGCAAGCCGGGCAGGGATGGTTGCTAGGAGAAGCAGGTGGGGCTGTCAGGCTGCTCCCATGGGGCAGACAGGTTCTGCCGCTCCTGCCTGGCCATTTTCAGCGGGGCCAGGGCTCCCTAGGATGCAGGGGAAAGAGGAGCCATTCTGCTCCCTCCTGTCACCCATGATGACCCTGCCTCCGACAGAACCCCCACCACGGGCCCCCTCTGTTTCACGCCCAGCAGGGTCTCCACGGGATCCATGGGAAGATGCTGAGCTCTCGTTGTCCAGGCTCACGGACCATCATGGCTTTCTGCCGTGAGTCACTTGGGCCCTCCTTCATCCATCTCAGCGGGGGCTTGCATTTGCAGGAACGCCTCTCTGGAGGCAGGACCCATCTCCCCAGCTCAGGCCTCGTTCCCTGGAGCCCTCTGAGGGCCAGAGTCTGGCCTGGGCTGGAGCTGAGAGACCCAGGAGGCAAACCCAGGAAGTGGGCAGGAATGGAGCTGGGCCTTGGGCCAGGCCCCTGGGCACTCCGAGGAGGGGCCTCCACGCCTGCTTCGGGGAAGGCCCTGCGTCTGCCTCCTGCATTCAGACAGTGAGGCCATTCAGTTCAGCAGGGGCTCCAGAGGGTGAGAGGCTCTGGGAAGGAGGCATCCTTTCTATTGGAAGGCAGTCTGGTCTGGGGCGAGGGCAGAGGGGTGCTCCTCGTTGACACCCCCAGGCCAGAGCCGCTGCAGCTCCCAAAGACTTCTGGGGGATGGCAAGAAGATGTCAGGGACAAGGCCAGGTCAGGGAGGGAGGGTGGGCATCAGAAGGAGGGGCCGACCAGCCTGGGCTGGAGGAGGGAGGAGGAGGAGGGAGCTGCCCTGGGGTGAACAGGGGAAGGGTACAGCGCAGTGGCCTTGGTAGCAGGGGAGGAAGCTGCTGGGCCGATGGCCGCCGTGAGACCTGCCTGAGGCTGGGGACTCCATGTGTGGCCACTGGGCTGCCCCTGGGGCCTCAGGCCCTGCTCACCGGCCAGGGATAAGGGGTCATTTAGATGGGTCAGGGGTGGGTCCTGCTTAGAGCTCCGACAAGACAAGGGGTAGAAATGGGCCAGAGAGGCAGAAGGGACCGACAAGAGGGGGGGCGTCAGGGGACAGCAGGGTGACGGCCAGGGTGAGTGCGAGGCAGGCTGGACGCTGAGCAGTCAGGCCCTGTGAAGGCGTGGGGTCCTCAGGCAGACAGGCCCAGGGGGCATCGGCTCACTGACAGGTCCCAGGCTGGCCCATCCCAGGACGGGGGAAAGTCACCTCGTGGGGGCTGCTGAGATGCCTCTGCCTGGCCCACCTGTCAGCAACAACCCTTCTCACACCCCAGGAAGGATGCTGGCCCGCCTGAGTCCCAGGCACCTGGCAGCCCCTGCCCTCCCTGGGGTCAGCCGCCCCCTACCCCCGAGGCTCCTGGGCCGAGCCTTGGGCTATGGGGCCAGGGGCCTGATCCTCAGGCTCTGCTTCTCTTGCCTTCCAGGAAGAAGGAGATGCCTGGCCCCAGCCCCCGCGAGGCAAAGGTAGGAGCCTGTCCTGGGGCTCGAGCAGGACATGCTGGGTGGGCATGGGGCCAGGTGACAGCAGACCCGGTCCCCAAAGAGGTCCCAAGGGCTGTTTCACCAAATCCCTCGTCTCAGCACCCCATGCACTGCCGGGGCTGCGCCTGAGCCCCAGAGCTGCAGTCAGCGGGAGCGGCCCGTGCCCCTCGGGCTCTCTGAGTCTGTTCACATGAAGGCCCCTGGACGCTGCCCAGGCACAATTCTACACTGTGGGCGGCTCATCTGCTGCCCCCCTTGTCTTGTTCCAGCAACTTCGCCAGGAGACCCAGAGAACCGACAAGTGGGTGAAGATGCTGCGGAGCTGGGACCACTCCCGGCTCAGTGAGAAGGTGGGGTGCTGAATGCCTACGGACAGCAATGTGTCCCGATGGGGGGCAGGTAGAGCCCTCAGCCTCCCCCGACCCCCGACCCCCGACCCCACGAGAGTCCCCCTGACTGGGGAAAGTCTGCTGCCAGAGCCAAAGCCTCCCCAGGCCCAAGGAGGGCACCAGAGGGAGCTTCAGGTCAGGGCCATTGTCCCCTCCTCCTTGTGGAAGACAAGACCCAGCTCACGGGACAGCCAGCCTCTCTGGAGACCCCATGGACCCAAGACCAGAATCTTCTAGATGCCTTGGGCTTCTCGGGCGCCAAGGTGCCGTACTGGGCCCGTCTCACCAGCGCTGCTTTCTTTCTGTAGATGCAGCGTCGGGGGTATAAAGTGGTCCCTCCCCAGGCGAGGGGTCAGCTGTGGGCCCTCGTGCTTGATATTGAGCAGGTGAAGTCCAGCCGCCAAGGGGTCTACGAGGTAAGCCCTTCCAACCTTGCAGTGGCATGGCCCTTAGATGAGGACTTGGTAGAAGCTAAGGGGAACAAGTTGTGGGGGTGCGGTCTTGTGCCTTGGGGACCCGGGGTGGCCTCAGCACTCTCCGGTACCTCTCAGACCCCAGGGTCCCACGCATCTCCCTGCTGCCCAGCCTTGGTCCCATGAACCCTGAAGAAGGACAGACCTGGGGCCCGGAGAAGTCAGGGCTGCGGGGCTCTGTCCGCCTCCTAGGTGGGTGATGGGAACCGGCACCCTTAACAGGCCTGGAGCCCCACAGCAGCCCTCCTGGCCCCAGGGCCTGGAGTGGGGGCTGACCAGGGGGGCTGGTGCCAGATTCCTGCTGGGGATGCAGAAGGAACTCCTGGCTGGGGATGGGAAGGGGAGGCGAGCTAGCCCCTGCCGCCTCGCCTGGGGGGCTGTAGGTCTCTGGGGGGGTCAGGAGCATAGGCCCAGTGACCCTCCCTGTCTCCCCGAGGGCTCTGAGATGGGCCTGCGCCCTGGGAGCAGGTTCCAGGGAGCAGCCTCCATGGGGCAGGCTCAGGGCCCAGGCTGGTGCTCAGTCCTGGAGGATGGACCCCTGTGTGGGGGGGAGGGGAGAGCCTCGGGCTGACCATCGGAGGCCCCTCCCCACCCAGGGCTGCTGAGCACCAGCCCTGACGTGGGCATCACGGGCACGGTGGGCCCTTGTGCAGGGCCCTGGCCTCAGAGACAAGGGACAGAAGGAGGTTTCTGCAGGACACACTCATGTGGCGGCTAGCGGCACCCCCTGCTTAGAGGGGCTGTTGGTGGCAGTTAGGGTTCCGTGTCCTGAAGCTGGCTCCTCCTTCCCAGTTCGGCCCACAGGAAATGTAGGAGCAGGCCCAGCTCTTCCCCAAGGACATCAGGCAAATTGACCTGGACGTGACCCAGACCTTCTCAACCACGTCATGTTCTGGGACCGCTATGGAATCAGGTGAGGCTGCTGGGCAAGCAGGGCGCTGGATCTGCAGGGCACACTCCAGGTGTCAGGGGTGGCCCAGGGGCTTCTGGGTGGGGAACGTGGGGTCTCAGAGGAGAGGGGGTGATGGCAGCAAACAAAATACTGCCGCATGGTAGAAATGCTGTGGATGACCCAGGTGCCCCCTCCCCGCACCCCCGGTGTCTGGGGCGATGGTGAGGGTGCCCAGACGAGGTCCTTGCATCGTCCTTATGTGAGCTGAACCCCAAAGGTTGGCGTGGAGTTTCTTCCTGAAGAGCAGGGGACAGAGGGTGGGGGCCGTGGGTGGGGGGCACTGGGGGGTGCTGGGGGCCAGGGAGCACAGACTCGGCTGGACGACGACACACATGGACCGAATGAGGGTCTCACGGGTCAAAAGGACAGCCACTCTTGCTGTTTTTCTCTAGTTCTGCATGTTGTTGCGTTTTTTTTTTTTAGACAATTCCATCTCATTGTAAAGATAGATATTATGATGAACCCCCAAATCCCATCCTGGGTCTAGCCCTGGGTCCTGTGCTCACCACATGCTTCCCCAGCAGCAAGTGTGTCCCAGCAAAGCCCAGACCTCGGGTCTACTTTCTCTGCTGAAATCTCCCAATGCATCTTAGAAAACGGGGATCCCCATTGGATGTGTGCCCCCCACACCAGCACCAGCCTGCAAGGATTTAGTGTAGCTCCTTAGTGTGTAGACAGTGTTCACGCCTCCCTGGCCACCTTAGGGTTCTCTGGACGGTCTGTCCTTATCAGAAGCCTGAGTTTGGTGTTGAGTCACTGGGTACAGGTAGAGACCCTGAGCTTGCGGGGGTCAAGCGGGAGGGATGGGAATGCAGTGTGTGCCCAGACAGGGTGGGGTGCAGGTGAATAGTGGCGGGAGGCAGAGCTGTGTCTGCATGCAGAGCGCTGTGGCTGACTGTGTGTTTTAAAGCCCGGGGTCCCGGGAGGCTGACCTGGAGGGCCACCAAAATCCTCGTTGAGGAGCCACCAGGCAGGGGTGGACTGGTTTTCCCAGGGCTGCCACAGACCAGTCTCATGAGGGGGGTGCCTTATACCTATGAACCTGGGTGGCCCCTGTGACAGTCTTGGTCCTCAAGGTGCGGCTGGGTCACACAAAGTGGACCTGTGACACCTGGTCCAGGAACCATAAGTCTGTGTGTGTTTCTTACCCATCAATGTCATGAGCACCTCCAGGTAATCCTTGAGTCCTGAACAGAAAATGTATTTTCATTTCTGGTCTCCTTTCCAAGAGGGTAGCAAACGGGCTCAGTCCAGTCTGGGTCCCTGGTGACCACTGTAAAGTGGCTAGCCCTAGCAATAACTCCCAAAGGCACAGATAACATGAGTCGTTTCTCTTTCTCAGAAATATGTCTCTCTGGGCCTCCCCAGGCCTTGGAGTAGAATCCCAAGGACAGATTGCATTTTGTATCTTGAAAAGAGGAAAGTGGTCCCATATCCTGAGGTGGTGAACAGAGGCTCAAGTCAACACCCTGCTGAGAATTAGAGCGAGCACAAGGTTAAGACCAAATACACATACCTGTTCAATGGCTACCGAGACACTGAGGAACCATGAGGGTAAGGCCCAAAGAAGGCTCAGCCCAAGAGACAAATCTGCTGACTCAGAGGACAATAGCCAGGAGGCTGACCAGAACTTTCTCCAGCGCCCCCGTGATGTGAGACAAGAATGGATTTCGGGATCTGTGCTGAGGGAGGTGGGCGTTGAAGGTGTGGGAATAGTGCCCGGACCATCCAGCTCATCCAGAACCACGTCATGGATGAGCATGACCCCAGCATGGAAGCGAGGGTTGCTGCTCCTGTCCGCAGCTGTGAATCCTGATGTGGGCTTGTGTCCTGTGTGCTCCACAGGAGGCTGTCCCCTCCCTGTGGAACCTGGGGTGGGGCAGGAGAGAGGTGCCCAGGAGGGGCTGCTGGTTGGATCATCCCATCCTAGGTGAGGTGGGCAGGGGGTTCCCGAAGCACTGTCCTCTTGCAGGACTCCAATCAGAAGCGAGTGGTTATGGGTGGTGAGATGCGCCTGCTGGACGTTCTGGACATGGCGGGCCAGGAGGAAAATAGCGCCCTGCGGGACCAGTACGTGCCCACTGGACAAGGCTTCCTGTGTGTGTTTGCCATCACCACCACCACGTCCTTGGAGGACATCCACCAGTACCGGTGAGCTGCTGGGTGGCCCTCGGGGACCTCCCTGTCCCTCCGTTTCTCCTGTCTCTCTGTCAGGGTCCTGGTGCACCATCCCTGCAACCCAGGGACTGGTCCCCACCTTCTTCCTTGCAGGGAGCAGATCAAGGGAGTGAAGGACTCCAGTGAGGGGTCTGGCTCCAGGTCTGGGACTCTCCGGGACTCTCTGGGACACTCCAGGATCCCCGTGACCCAGCGGCCCACGCATTGTAAGTGTCCCTGGATGGCAGGCCCGCGAGGGAGCCTGGGTCCAGGGTCTGGGCTGACAGAACTACAGGGAGGGGCAGAGGGCCTGGAGAGAGCTGCCCTGAGCCAGGCCGGAGCAGCGACCCTGGGGTCTTGGCCCCTCTGGCCCCAGAGAGCTCTGTGGGCCCCTGTTGGCCCTGTACCCTTCATGGGCTGTTGGGGACAAGGTTGATAGGTCAGACAGGAGTGGGACAGGGGATGTTCAAGCTGGGAGCCAGACCAAGGACCTGCCCCGTGGGGGAGCTCCTGAGGGCAAGCTGCCTGATGGGGGTAGCCCTGGGGCTGCAGGATGAGCAGGACCGCATTTCCTGTGTGTGGGAGTTGGGGTGGGGAGAAGGGGGGAGGGCTGGACCCCTCGGTCCCCCTCCGCCTCCCAGCCCCCAGGCCGGGGCCCACTCTGAGGCGGCCCCTTCCTCCTAGGGCTTGAGGCTGCCTTCCAGACGCTGGTGCGAGAGATCCAGGAGCACAAGGTGGGAAGGCTGAGCTCACCCGAGGAGGGTGGCCCGGGCTGCAGGGGCTCCAAGTCCCTGCTCCCCGTGATGTCCCTTCCAGGCCCCCTCTGACCAGCCCACTGGCCCTTCTGTGCCCCAGGAGCACAGGCAGGGGGCATGGAGGTTCTAGAAGCCAGGAGCCGGTGGGGACAGAGGAAGGAGCAGGGGAAGGAAGAAGGAAGCGCCGCAGGACCCCTGCCGCCCAGGCTCCCTGGACAGACCCCCAGAGATGCTTTGCACAGATGTGGTGAACTGAGGCCCCCAGGACTCTGGCTGTCACTCTCCTCCCAGCCCTGTCCTGGCCCTTTGGCCACAGGTTGGGTCCCAGTCAATTATGGGATGGTCCGGACCCTGGCGTCTGGCTGAGATTGGAAGGCGCTGGGGACCCTCAGCTTTGCGTCTGCCTGGAGGCCCCTCTGTGGGGACACCTGTAGGGACTGGGGAGGCGGCCTGGGCTGAGCTACCCTTTTCCCTTCTGGGTGTCTGTCCTGCACTTCTTGCAGGGAGCTCTGGGCTCCACAGGAACAGGCTGGCTTTACATTTTAACACAACCCGTTATTGAACTGTTAACAGCAAGCAGGGGCTCAGAACCTAGGGTGAGGCCTTCCCCTGGGGAGGGAGACCTGCTTCTCCTTTAGAGGAAGGCTGAAATCACAGGGGGGCGTGGGTGCCAGTGTCCCCCTCCTTGGAGCCTCCTCTGAGTCTGGGGGGGCACATTTCCTGAGTGTGGGTCCCCTAGGAGGCAGGTGCTGAGGACAGGGGACCTGACCTGGAGCTCCAGTGTTGGGGTTCCGGGCAGGGTCCCAGTACGTCTGCATGGCCTCGGCCTCTGCTGCCGGGTGACTGCTTGAGACCTGGCCTCTGGGGGCACCTGCCTCCTACTGTGGGGGAGGGGGAGGGTGGGCTCTCATTTGCTTGCCCCTGCTCCCCCTTAGCTGGGGTGGCCTGTGGTCCCAGTGCTGTCCTTGGTCGGAGCTGTGGATCTGTGGGGCATGCCCAGGTCCCAGGTGACCACACAGAACTCTGAGAGGGCTCGCCGAGCCTGGGGCCAGAAGTCAGGAATGGCCAGGGCCACGGGGGCCTTGTTCCCATCAGTCTTCATTCTGGTCCTGAGGGGGCTCATGTCGTCTCTCCCCACCCAGGGCCTGGGGCCAGGCCAGCTGAGGTCTCTCTGGCTCAGGGACTTGTGCCTCCTTCCATAAGCAGAGGTTGCCGCTGTCCAGGAAGGCCAGTGTGATGAGGCACAACATGGTGCTGGCTGGCCAGAGCCTCAGGGCCCCCACGCTCAGCATCCGCTCCAGGGGCCAGGGACCGTCTAGCTGCCCTGTGGATGCAGAGGTCAGAGGGTCCCGGGCAGGTGCGGGGCCTTGGGGCTGCTGGCTCAGGCGGCCCTGGCTGTGTCTCGGCTGTGCCTGTCACTCCCCAGAGAGGGGCATGAGCTGCAGCGGCCACAGGACAGGAAGGGTGTCCTGGGTCCACAGCTCGCTCTCTAGTGGGCTGGGGGGACCCCGTCCCGGGAGTCCCAGGGGCCTTCTCGGGCCAGGACTGTGGTGTGGCCACTGGGGTGGCCCAGGCAGGTGTTGAAGGGAAAGGAACCCAGTGTTGTGGCTTCAGGCCCAATTCGGGGGCCACCTGCCTGCATTCTCCTGGTGCCCTGGGAGGTTGGGGAGGGAATTCCATCACTGTGGGGACAGGTGGGCCAGCGAGGGGTCCTGGGCTGGGGGCAGCCGGACCAGAACCTGAGTCCCTGGGGCCCCCTGGCACAGGTGGGCAGCTGAGGGCTCTGTGGACATTCCCTCCTGCAGCGGCTCCTCGGGCTTCAGGATGGACAGGCCAGAAGGGGTCTGGCTGCTCATGTTGGGAGTTTGGGCCTGGGGAGGCCAGCTGTGGGGAGCGTCTCAATGCTAAGAGAAGGGAGGAGAGGCTGGGCACCTGGGAACTTGCTCCAGACCCAGGGGCATCTTGGGGAACTCCTCAGGGCCGGCTGCAAAGAGGCAAACTGGGTTAGCATCTCCAGTAGGCTGTCTCCAACTGGCTGGGCCCGAGGGTGTGCTCATGGCACCCTGTGTGTCCACCTTGGCCTGCCCCTGACAACAACCCCCCAGGTGCTGATGCCCAGCCTCTGCAATGAGCGCCCGGATGCCCGCCCCTGGCCTGGGTTGCCCAAAGTTGGAGCAGGAGAGGGACAGAGATGAGGAAGGCCTCGGGGCTCTGTCCACTGTGTGCTGCCCCAGGAGGGTGCATCGGGAGGGGACGGGGTATGGGCCTGGTGTCACCTCATCCTTCAGCTGGGCCATGGAGGCCCAAAGGTATCTGAGCACCACCTCATCCTCCAGGTCCCGGGGCTGGGCCAGGGTGTCCTGCAGAAACTCCTGAGGTCCTTCCAGGGGCAGCTTCAGGAGGCGTTCTGGGCAATGGGTGTGAGTCAGACCCCGAGGGGCCCTACCTTGCCGCCCCAGGGTGCCTCCAAGGGGCAGGTACTGGGGGTCCAGACGTGCCCAGGAGTGCCGCAGGCAGAGCCCTGGCAGGGGGAGACCCCATGCAGGCTGCTCCTCTGTGGGGTGCCCCGCCCAGCCCCCTGTGGGCCACTGTCCTCCATGGAGGCCTGTGTGCTCCTTGCTCCTTAGAGCAGTGGGCCAGTGCCCTGCCCAACCCCCCGGGCACACCTGCGCTCCCACGGCTCACTCACTGCTGTGCACCTTGAGGATATTGTATGCCATGTCTGGGAGCATGCGCTCACATCCAGGATGTAGGCATCCCAGAGCTGCAGGGTGAGCGAGAAGGGGGTCTGTGGGGACGGCCGGTGTGGGAGGGGCAGCCTCGGCGGGGCCCATGGGGAGACCCTGCCACCCCCCTGGCTGCATGGGTCGAGGCCCCACAGCCCCTCCTGTGGGTGCACTTCTCCCAGGGAAGGTGGGGCTCCGGGTGGTAAGGGCCTGGCCAGCAGGACCCACAAACCCTGGGGGCCACAGACTCTGCCCCACACTCGGTGGCCACAGACGCTGCCCCACGCTCAGTGGCCACACGCCCCGAGAGGACACCAGGCTGGCTGCAGAATGGGCCGAGGGCCTGTCCACTCCCCAGGCTGACCTGGCCTTCCCTGGAGGATCCGAGTCAGACACAGTGCATCCCCCGGACCACTTCAAGGGGGCCTCTTGGGTGCTCCAGGATGGGTCTGGGCTGCGTGCCTCAGCCTTAGGGCCTCCAGGTCGGGCCTGGCTGGGGTGGAGGTGAAGGCTGAGCTCGGCCCTCTCCGAGGGCCAGGGGCAGGAAGCAGGCCAGGGACCAGGTCTGCTTAGGTGGCCTTTACCAGTCGATGAAACACTGAAGGAACCACTTGGTGGTGTAAATGCCAGTGCACGTCTGTTCCTCATCCTGACAGAAGTCGGAATGTGATTAGGACCCACCCAGCGGCCCCAAACCTCCCTGGGCCAGGGCCCCGTGCAGCCAGGTGGACACGCTCCCCACAGCCCCCGCTCAGCCCCAGGGACACCCTTGGGCCCAATAGGAGGAGGAACAGGACACCAAACTCTGGGCAGCTTTGGTTGGGTTCTGCTTGCCCCCATCCCTGCCCCAGGCCATGGGGACCGGCCTCTGGGGAGCTTCTACTCGCCAGGTGCTTCTTAAACTTTGGGAGTTCTTCTGCTAGAATGAGCTCGTCATGGGCCTGGAATCTCAGTAGTTCGGGGAACCCTGGAATGAAGAAGCCAGAGAGGCCCCAGGCCCCTCAACAATCAGACCCTTCTTCCCCACCGGGGGCAGGGGGTGAGTCCTGGCAGGTGCCTCCTCTCCTGTGCCCTGACTCCAGGGTGTGCCTGCCCATAGCCCTCCTGAGCCCTGGCTGGCCCCGCTCTTCCCAGAGAGCAGGACTGCCTTCCAGGTCTGGGGCAGGGGAGCGGGGGCAGAGGACCCTCCTCCTCACAGAGACCCAGCTGGGTGTGTGCCCTGGGTGAGGACCAGGCCCGTCTGATCCAGCAACTCTTTCCTGCCGTGGTTGCAGCAGGAGCAAGGGGGTCCCCATTGCAGCCCACGGGGAGGGTGACGGGGTTGCGCAGGGCCGTCTCCTGGGCTTAGGATCCAGGCTGGGGGCCCACAGGAGCCAGAGATGTTGCCACTGGGCTGCCTCTGGCCATGGCTGACAGGGGACCTGGGGGGCAAGCAGGCAGCCAGACAGGAGGCTGAAGGACCTGTGGGAATGCAAGAATGGTCTGCAAACGGGGGGGCCAGTGGCCATGGCTACAGGACCCCAAAGGCCCCCTGGGAAGGCGGTGCCATTTGCCAGTGGGGAGAAGGCCTGGGTGGGGCTCCTGGCTTGTCCCACTGCTGGAGCTGCCCTGCAGGGAGGCCGTCCCATCCAGGTGCCCTGCCGGCCCCTACCGTACATGGCCTGCCTCTCCAGAGCTGCTTGTCTTCAGTCTGCACGGGCCCCGCATTTGGTGCACAAATGGAATATGTCTCCACCCCTGTAGCTTTCCTCCCTGCTCTCCGAATGGTGTCTTTTGCAGAGGGCAAGTTTGATTGACAGAAACTTGTCCATGATTTCTCCCTTGTCTTCTCCCCACTGACCAGCCTCTTGCGTCATGTCCACGGCCTGACCCTCGTCTGGTGTTCTGGTTTTCTAATGCCTGGAATGGGTTACCACCACCCCGTAACGTGGGTAAGGGTTGCACATGGAGTCCCACAGGGGAGTGCAGCCGGGCCCAAGTCCACATAAGGGAAAGCTACTTTTGAGGATGGCAGCAGATCGCACTGATGGGGCCAATATTTACCATGAGGGCACTATAGAAAGCTCTCGATCCTGTGCCCAGATGTGTCCTGGGCTGGGCCTGCCCCTCACATAGGGGCCCTTCTCTGTGAGGTGTGCTGCGCAGTGGTCATAGGTTGGATGGATGTTTGGGGTGTTGCCCGGGGGCTTCAGGGCTGCTAGAGGCTGGCTCACCCTGGACCAGGCATCACAGGTCAGCTGTGACCCAGTCAAGGCCGTCACAGGGGCCACCCAGGTTCCGAGGCACAAGGCACCCCCCTCGATGGAGGTACATTGGCATCTTATCATGAGGTGTGTGGTCCAACCCTGCCTGGTGGCTCCTCAGTGCCAGTCTTCACTGCCCTCCAGGTCAGCCTCCCTGAGGACCCGGGCTTAGAAGCACACTGCCAGCCGCTGAGCTCTCCACACAGACAGAGCTCCATCTCCTGTGGCGATCCACCTGCACCCCACCCTGTGTGCACGCACACTGCATTCCCATCCCTCCTGCTAAACCCCGCATCCTCTGGGTCTCCACCTGCACAGGGGGACTCTACAGGAAGCCTTTGGGAGCTGCGGCGGCTCTGGCCTAGGAGTGTCACTGAGGAGCACCCCTCTGCCCTCGCCCCAGACCAGACTGCCTTCCAATAGAAAGGATGCCACCTTCCCAGAGCCCCTCACCCTCTGGAGCCCCTGCTGAACTGAATGGCCTCACTGTCTGAATGCAGGAGGCAGACGCAGGGCCCTCCCCAAAACAGGCGTGGAGGCCCCTCCTCGGAGTGCCCAGGGGCCTGGCCCAAGGCCCAGCTCCATTCCTGCCCACTTCCTGGGTTTGCCTCCTGGGTCTCTCAGCTCCAGCCCAGGCCAGACTCTGGCCCTCAGAGGGCTCCAGGGAACGAGGCCTGAGCTGGGGAGATGGGTCCTGCCTCCAGAGAGGCGTTCCTGCAAATGCAAGCCCCCGCTGAGATGGATGAAGGAGGGCCCAAGTGACTCACGGCAGAAAGCCATGATGGTCCGTGAGCCTGGACAACGAGAGCTCAGCATCTTCCCATGGGTCCTGTGGAGACCCTGCTGGGCGTGCTTGAAACAGAGGGGGCCCGTGGTGGGGGTCCTGTCAGAGGCAGGGTCATGGGTGACAGGAGGGAGCAGAAGGGCTCCTCTTTCTCCTGCATCCTAGGGAGCCCAGGCCCCGCTGAAAATGGCCAGGCAGGAGAGGCAGGACCTGTCTGCCCCACGGGAGCAGCCTGACAGCCCCACCTGCTTCTCCTAGCAACCATCCCTGCCCGGCTTGCCCTGCTCCTATGGGCAACAATACCCACTTGGGTCTCATCTGCTGGACTCTACTCTGATCCCTGCCTGGGACATAACTGCTTTTGCTACCGAGGATTCCCTTTGGGCCAGAGCCGCTCCTGCCTGCCTATGACCCTGCCTGGGTCTTCCGTGCACCTGTTGCCTATGAGCCCCGCCTGGGCCTCATCGGCTACTGAGGACTAGGATCCCCGATGGACCCTCGCCTGCTACTGATGCCTCCCTCCCCCGGGTCTCACTTGTTCCTGACGACGCTGGCCCTTGTCTGGGCTGAACTCCCCACCTCTACAGTGGGTGCTTGATCGTTCCTCTCTGGCCCTCACCTGCGCGTAATTGGCTATGATGTTGGCCTGTTGCAAGGCCAGCAGGGTCTCTAGGTCCTCTTTCATGGTGCAGTAACCAAAAACATCCAAATAGGACCCTGCATGAAAACCTCCAGAGAACAAGGGGTCTGCTCCCTGTGGGCAGATCCCCAGTCTGTCCGAGCCTAGAGTGGAGGAAACCCTCCAGCTCTGGGGGGGACGAGCTGGGCTGGCGGATCCCACACGGGCAATCCCACTCCGTGGCACTCTCACCCCCAGACTGCCTTCCCAGCCACTGTCCGCATACACGCTGTCACGCTGAGTTGACAGAGTCTCTTACCCCCTTACCAGGAGCTCACGGGGGTCCGGGAAACCGCTGACCTGATGCTTGGTGTGGCGTCCCCCAGCCCGGGGCCCGCAGCGCAAGGCTAGCTGGGAGGGCCGGCCATCGAATGCTCCTGCAGGCTTTGGGGGGTGATCGAATGTGTCTCTGAGATCCCACAGCACAGGCGACGAAAGGGAAAAAGCAACGAGTGGACATCATCCACATGAACAACTTTGGCAGCAAGAGTGTGAGCAAACTCCCCACCCTGATTGCAAGGATTGTGAATGGCCCGAGGAGGGGTGAAGCGGAGAGCAGGAGGGGCTTCGTGGTCCCTGCCGGGGTGGAGCATGCTGGCTCCTGGCCCAGGAGGCTAGGACCCGGGCAGCAGGGGGGCAGCCCTCCCCCCATGGAGCTGTGGAAGGGCTGCACACCGGCTCACGGTCAGCGCTCGGGGGTCCGGTGTCCTCGGCCACAGCCCGGGAGGCCACGCCGCCCCACCCGGAGCCGGCAGCCCCCACAGTGGCCCGAAGGGAGCGGGGAGCAGCGCACACTCCCCTGTGACCTGTCGCTGTGTGAGCTGTACCTCCTGTCTACACGGGGGTCGTGGGGTGCGCAGGGCAGTGAGAGTGTGGCCGAGACAGAGACAGAGAGCGCGAGAGCCTCCCCCTGCCTGGGGACACAGAGCCTAGTGCGTGCCAGGCAGCGGGGAACCCTGGGGCTCTACAGTTCCGCTCACAGTGGGGTCCTGCGTCATCAGTGCACATCAGCGGGGTCCCATCAGCACCTAGCCCTTCACCCTGAAGGTCCCGCTCCCGGGGAGGGTCTTGGCCCCACGCATGGTGGGAAGGCCTGGCTTGGCACCTTCCCACCATCCTTAGCTCCCATGCTCAGGCCCTCCAGGCACCTCGTCCTTCTAGGTAGACTGTGTGTCACAAATGTCCTCCCACCCCCAAGGGTTCTCAGCATGCGTTTTGCACTTCGGAACATTTGAGGGGCTCTTGGGTGCCTGAGTCAGTTGAGTGTCTGACTCTTGATTTTGGCTCAGATCATGATGTTACAGGTTAAGAGACTGACCCCATGTTGGGTCCTGGGCTTGGCTGGGAGTCTGCTTGAGATTCTCTCTCCCTCTGCCCCTCCCTCCGCTCGAGCTCTCTTTCTCTCTCTCAAATAAAGAATTTTTTTCAAAAATTAACATTGAAGAACATTTGAGAAATCTTTATCATCTCTGCAAATGTTCCGTCATATCTGGAATGGCTGTATAATTGCCTTTCATGGATGCACTGTGATTTCTATTAGAAGCCCCTATTCTTTAATATTTATTGCAGTATAGTCAACACACAATGTTATATTAGTTTTAGGAGTCCAACTTAGTGATTCCACAATTCTGTACATTACTCAGCATTCTCCAGGAGAAGTGTACTCACCATCTGTCCCCGTACAAAGTATTGTAATACTATTGTCTGTATTCCCTATGCTTACTTTTTAGAATTTCTGTGACTTATTTATTTTAGAACTGGAAGTTTAGAGCTCTTAATATTATTCATCTCTATTTTCCACCCCCCACTCACTTCCCCTCTGGCAAATCAACCAATGAGGTACATCACATTCACAAGAGAAATGACAAAAACCATATGATCACCTCAATAGTTGGAGAAAGAGCATCCAACTAAATACACCATAAAAAGCAACGAGGGTTTAGAGGAAACGTACATCAACAGAGTAAAGGCCATGTATGAAAGCCCACAGCTGACCTCATACTCAATGGTGAAAACCGAAAATCATTTCCCCTAAGACCAGAAACATGACAAGGAAGTTTCCTCTCAGCACTATAATTCCTAGCTGCAGCAATCACACAAGGAAAAGAAAGGCATCCAGATTGGTAAGGGGGAAATCAAACTGTCTCTTTTTGCTGAAGACATGATACTATAAATAGGAAACCCTAGAGACTCCACCAAAAATGTTAGAACTAATGAGTGATTTCCATAAAGTTGTGGGATACAAAATCAGCGTATGAAAATCAGTTGCCTTCCTATGTACCAACAATGAACTCCCCAAAAATGAAAGTAAGAAAACAACCAAAGGACTCAGTAGCATCAAAAAGAAGCAAGGACTTCACCAAAGAATTGAAAGATTTGTACACTGAAAACTACAAGACTTTGGGAAGAAATCCTGTGCTCAAGAGTTGGGAACCTTCATATCGTTACAATGTCTGTAACACTGAAAGTGACCCTCTCTTTCAATGCAATTCCTATCAGAATGTTGGAAATAGAAAAAAGTTGTTAGAAATAGAAAAAGAACCCTAACATTCATATGTCTCCACAAATGACGCTGGACAGCAAAAATAGTATTGAGGAAGAAGAACAGAGCTGGATGCAGCACTTTTCTGATTTCAAAGGACGTCGCAAAGCTACAGAATTAAAAGAGTATGGTTCTTTAGAGACGATGGACTCTGAAAAACAGACTGAGGGTTCTTAGAGGGGGGGGGGGTGGGGGATGGGTTAGCCTGGTGATGGGTATTAAAGAGGGCACGTTCTGCATGGAGCACTGGGTGTTATGCAGAAACAATGAATCATGGAACACTACATC